GATGCTAAGGGCTGTAAAAGAAGGAGAGACAGGTAAAGGGGCTAAACATGCTGACAGGGAGGACGAATATCACCTCTTTGATAAGGTGGTATTTGAATAGAGGAATTTGATAAGGTGGTATTATTCTGAGGAAATAAGGTAGAAGGAGTAAGTAAGATGTCTCAGAGAAGAACATTCTAGGCAGAGAGAAGAGCATGTTCAAGACTGGAGGTAGGATGATGTTTGGTACATCCAAGGTATAGCAGGGAGCAGTATTGCTAGAACAAAGAGAGAGAGGGAAAGTGGGTAAGGAGGTGAGGTTTACATAGTCAGCAGGGGGTAGCTCATGTAGGATCTTGAAGTCCATGTAAAGACTGGGCCTTCCATCTGAGACAGATGAAAAGCCACAGAGAGTTCTGAGTAGACAAGTGACAGGACCTGATGCACATTTTGAAAAGGTAAGTCTGGCTGCACTCTGGAGTGGAGAAGTGATTAAGTAGGCATTCAAGAGTTTGAGCCAAAAATGGTGGCATGGACCAGAGCGGTGGCAGTGGAGGTGGTGAACTGACTATGGAATGTGAGAGAAAGTGTCAGCCTAAACTACTGGGAGACTGACTTACCATTTACTGAGATGACAAAGCATGAGAAAGGAGCAAGCTTGGGGGAGAGAATTGGGAGTTTGGTTTTGAATACTTTAGGGCTGATTTTTACCTTTACACATACAGTGGAGATGTTGAATAGGCAGTTTGCTGTACCCTCCGAAGAACAGGACTAGGGATACATACCTGGGAGCACAGACATGGTATTTAAGACACAAAACTGGATCAGTGCACCTGAGAACTCAGTGTATATCAAGAAGAGCAATTCCAAGAACTGAGTTCTGGGCCACTCCTACATTTGGTGGTTGGGAGATGAGGCAGAATCAACATCAGAGATGGAGAAGGAGCTTAACTCAAGAAAGTGTGGGCCCAGGAAGCCAAGGGAAGAAGTATTTGTAAGGAGGGCAAGGTCAACAGTGTCAGTTCAGTGACAGATGACAGGTCAAGGAGGATGAAGAGCAAGAACTGGCCACTGGATTTGTCAATGAGGAGGTCACCCTGATTTTATCAGAGTGGAACTGTTAAAGAGGTGATAAAGAAAGCCTGGTTGTAATGGATTCAAAGAGATGATGAGGAGAGGAACTGGGGACAAGTATGGACAATTCTTTCAGGAACTTACAGCAAAAGAAGAGTGAAAAATAAAAGATGAGAGAGATGGCAGCATATATGGATATTGCTATAAATGATACAGTAGAGAGGAGAAAAACTGATGATATGGGGGCAGGAGGGATCCTTAAAACCAAAACTTTAACAGGGTATTCCAGCTGTGATTCCATTGAGATAAAAAGTAAGTAGCATTTGTCTGCGGAAGTAGATTTATTCATGTTATTTTTTCTTCTTCATTTACATACACACCAGAAAAAGCTGTTACATATGCAACATAGGCATATTTTTTAAGAAAAATATTTTTAATGGAAATCATTATAGAACTATTGAAAAGTTAATGGCTGAAACTGTGTCTTTGTCTTTCCTTGTCTCCCTCTCTTCCACAATTCCTCCTTTTAAAGATTGTGAACATTCTTTCGATCCTAAATTTCAGCTGAAAAATTCATGCTTTGGGATTAATGACAGTGTGTTTCTCCTACAGTAGTATTTCAGTTTCCTGAAATATCTTAGAATAAAATGATATGAGACACCTGCTTCATACTAATTTAGTTGGGGGTAGGGGGATGAACTAGGTGGGGGTGGTAGCAGAGATGAAAGAAGTTGGTTTCGAGTTGATATTAACAAAACCAGGTGATGGATGGGTATACGGTAATTCATTATACTATTTTCTCTGCCTCTGTATGTGTTTGAAAATTTCCACAATACAATGTTAAATATTAAAAGAAACATAGGGCCAATACCATGCTTAACCTAAAGCAATCCATTAAGTGGTAAAATTTCAGAAAACCTGGTAACAGAAGTAGCTATTTTGGGTCACAAAAATTTTTCTGGCATTTTAAAAATCAAATCAGCTACTTTACTTTCATATACAGAGCTAGCATAGATGACTTTTTAACTGACAAGAAAGTATCTCACTTTCTTTAGGATAGAGTTAATTTGGATGCTTACTGTGTAATTTGGAAGACTGGGTTTTTTTTTTTTTTTCCTTTTTGTCTTTTTTACTGACCGGTAACGGGATCGCAACCCTCGGTGTCGCACCCGCACCGTGCTCAGCCAGTGAGCGGGAACCGGTCTCCACATGGGATCCGAACCCTCAGTGGGAGCGCCACTGCGCTCCCAAGCAGCGCACTCTCCAGTGCGCCACCGGGCCGGCCCGAGACTGGGTTTTTTTAAATGAAGCCTTGGTTCTGTTAAATATCTGATCACTTTAGGTAAGCATAAAGAATTCTGAGAACATTTACGCTATGAAATGTTTTGAAGAAAAGTAATGCTACAGTCAGTAATCATAATCCAGCTGTTATTTAAAAGAATAAATAGTTGACAGTTGAATAAATAGAAGGTGAAATTTCATTGCAATAATAGTTCTTCTTTTAAAAGAAACTGATTTCTGAAATTTGCACATATTGTAAAAATTAGGTAATAAAGGTTCTTAATCTTTCAAAATAAGAAAATATGCAATCAACAATATTGCTACATGAGCTCTGCAAGTATTAACCACTAAGTATTCTCTACATATTTCCAGTTACTCATTAACCATTTTATAGTGTTACTATTCCTCTGTCAGTAATTTCCACCAGCAAAAGCTGAAAAACAAGTTGCAATAATTTTTTTCTACATCAGAAATCTTCGCATTTTATTAATAACATCTCCACTGCTCACTAATGTTCATTATTAAAAGTCCACTACGTATTCAAGCCCTGTAAATTATACTTCAAAAATTAAACCCAAAGTTATGTTGTTCTTGTGCAGCTTATGGTCTCTTTTGTATGGCTTTATTGCCCTCAACATTTCCTTGGTGTAAACTACTGAGCAAGGGAACAGGATTTCCTTTGTAACTGATACCTAAATTTCTATGCTGCTTTAAGCATCTAATTTGCACTGTGAAAACATATAATTTGAGAGTTGTAGCTATATCATGAAAATACAACAGTTTACTCTGATCTCTAATTTTCTGAGTTGTACTGGCTATAATTTAAATTTTTTGCATGTTTTTAACTGCCATGCAAATCAGTATACATCAGAAACCTTTGTATATTGACAGAGACTGGCCAAAGGATGCCTTGTTCTGATTTCAGATAAGCATTCTCTTTTCAGGTCTGCAGGTGCAAGGCGGCCCATTCATAATATTTGCTTCAAATCAGTTATACTCATTGGATGGAAATACAATGCTATTACACAAGAGCTTGACTAATCTTTATAAGCACAACATATAAAAAAATTATTATTATTAGCAAATTCTAGGGAAAAGTAAGACTTTTTCCTTTGCCTATGTATGGGAAAGAAAATATACTCTGTTAACATAAATTTGGTCATTTTAGTAGTGTGTGTGTATATGTGTGTATTTACTAAATCTAGAAAAACACTTATTTATTGAAACAGGATGGAATTATGCTCAGTGGAAAATCTGCTGCAACAAGTGCATGTTCCATTTAAGAGGTAACTGGTAATGAATGTTACTTTTTCCTTTGCTTTAGGTTTCACTTATTTTGAAATCAACATACAAGCTAAAATATAACCACAAGATAAAAATTTACTCTAATTGTCCCCATTTCAAACTGGGTAAATCTTTCCAAAACAAATATTAGACAACTATATATACAACAAATAAGTAAAGTTAGTTGGATGTTTCCATTATATGGTTATGACTTTGTTTAAATTTGCTTCAGGCAGAAACTTGGAACATTAATTCAAAATGTAGGAGTGAAGTTTAGTATTACAAACAATTACAGCTATTAATTAAACTCTTCTTGAGTTGGAGAGGTTAGAGAAAGGATCTAATAGAATTTAAGGGCTCAGTAACCAGACAGAGATAAAGTAAAATTAAAAAATAAAGTACACAATAGTCACTGCACTGGCAAAAATAAATGTTTGGCAAATATTGAAAACCAATAAGAAATCCTAAACTGATGACTATTACTATTACTTATAATGTTTTATAACAATCCAATGTTTGCTAACAATCCAATGCTACCACCTTACAGTTGACTTTGATTACATAACTCAAAAGTCCTAAAACACTGTCTCATACACTATTTGACTTGAACTTTCCTTTGTGATCTAGGGAAGGCAGGTATTATTACCCCCATTTTACAGATGAGGACAATACAGTTTATACGGAGGTAACCTCTCCAGATCAAGGTAACTCTGACTTAAGTGGCTTGCCTGGACCCATAGCTGTCAATCCTGGTCCAGGGTTATCTTTGCTCCTCAGTCTCAGAGAGACTGATCACAGTGAGGGATCAATTAGCTGAGAAAGTTTTTATTCTGCTTTTTTTTTTAATCTGAAAGGATGGTGGCTTAAAGCACAAATAAATATCACTTGAGGGATATTCATCACTCGCTCAGCTGTCCTTTCCTTTCCTTGGACTCAAAAATGGACGTCTCACTAAACTCATCCGCAGCCTTGAGTCAAAGGCAAGTTGGTGAGTGGTTAGTGAACCCAAATGCTAGAAAAATGGGGAGCACGCTCTGTACAGATGATACCTCGAGGATGAACCAGAACCCCTTCTGTGAATACGACAACCTGTCTTCCAAACTTCCATTCTATTAGTGTTTCTCCACCACCTGGGAGCAATACACAGTCTCTCCTAGTATCATAGTTATCGCTGTCACCCCGAGGCGGAAATGCTTGACACCTGGCCCCCCAGAGGCCGCTTACGGTGGAGGACGCGGCCACACACCCGTTCTTCTGAAGTTCTCAGGGCAGATCGAGGCGGATAACCGTAACTTACCTGGCAGGGATGCTCTGGCCGGGCAGCTCTTCGTGCCAGCCCAAGACCTTTGGGAAAGAGAAGAAAACAAAACGAAACAACTTACCACTTTGGCCCAGTCCAAGAACAAGTGAAAACACCCAGGCCGCCCGGAGAAAAGAGGCAGGACCTCGCCGGCAGTTTTGCAGGCAGACAAATGCAGCGGTAAAAAAAGCCAAGGCCGAGCCGCACATAATGCAAAGCAGCCTGCCCCGCGCCCGCAGCCTGGCTGCTTTCCGGACGCGCGCTCGCGCCTCCTGGGCGCACCTCGGGGCCCGCGCTCCTAGTGTCGCTACGACGTTTCCCGCAGGCCCGGCAGGCGGACTCCGCGGCTTGGAGCAAGCGGTGCAGGTACGCGGGCCGGGGCACCGCTCGGCATCTCAGGGCCCCCGCGGCCCTCCCAGCTCAGCACGGCGGGCCCGCTGTCTCCGCGAGAGGCACCTCCTCCGACAGCCGATGGCCCACGGCGGCGACGCGAGCGGGAGCTCCGCAGCCCGCTCCGGGACAAAGAAAAGAGCTTTTGTTTCTCTCCAGCCGCTGGGGCTTCTGCTGCATAAATCAGCTTAGCGAAGAGCCAAACACAATCAAACCCAAACAAAGCCCGAAGCTGGGGGGGAAACCACCCTAATGTACATTCACTGGGTGATGCTGCATTTGTGGGAGGGGACGCCTGCGAGGCTGAAGGAGAAAAAAGGCGATGGCGCATCAATCAGCGCGAGCTTCTTCCACAGGTGGGCAGGGAGGCCAACTCCACTTAGTTGCAGCTTTGCAGCCTCGTCAGCGGAGCAGCGAGCAACGACGAGGCGGCAGCGTCCTGGCTGGCGAGGGAGGAAGCTCGGGGTGCCAGCGGCAGGGGCAAGCGGCTCCGGGAGCGCCCTAGAAGCACTCGCCGACGCCCGTAGCCACAGAGCTAGGCATCGCCGCTCCGCGCCTGGCCGGGAGTGGAGCACACCGCGGCGAGCGCAGGAGGGGAGGTTCCGCGGGAGTGCGGGAGCCCGTCCTTGCGGGGCGGGGGCTTCGTGCCCTCGTTCTTTTGGCCCCAGTGCGCGGCTCAGGCGTCCCGCCACCCAGAGCCCAGACAGCTGGCGTGTTCTGGGGTGCACCCGGCGAGGATGCGAGGGGAAAAAAGGCTGGCGATGGGCGGGGGAGGGGTGG